CGTCTATTGAACAATACGTTTTCAAACTTTAGACTTGTGAAAATAACGCCAGTTTTGATGTGATCTGAAACAATAAGACATTTGCGGACTTTGAATCATCTATCACGATTTTGAAACAAGTTACGAATGTGGTGAAATATATCATAGGAAATTACAAACAGGGATGTGTGTTAATGATGGGCATGCGCGGGGGACTGACGACTTCTTTGAGATCCCTGCAAAATTTAGCATTAGCCCAAGCACATTATAGAAATGAAATCGGTTTTACTCTCTCGACCGTACATGTGTATGCAAATGATATGTACTATCAAAGCAAGAAAATACTATGTTCTGATGTGTGGAAGACTTGCATAACTGCCAAGTTTGAATCCTATGACACAGCAGCTAGGGCTAGCTTAACGAGAGGTGTTGATGGACGATATGACGGTCCTGGCGACATGTTGGTGACGTTGTATCGCTGTCTCAGACGTTCTACCGTTCGTACGCTGCAATTGAAGCCATTAGCAATGTCTCGAGAACGTTGTCCAGCGTCTAGACGTCAATTGGCTTGTTGTGATTTCTAACATTAATCTCAAACAATACTTTAGTGGGCAAAAAGGCCATACGACCACGATTCATGTTTTCCTCAAACTTGACTTCCAGTGTATATTTAAAGCAAATAGGTTCAAATACTCCATTGATACTTTAATGTCTTTTCCAATATTGCGATGTTTCTTTTGCCTTTCAGTATATATTCGCCTTTTTTGTACAGTCGCGAAATCTATAAATTCGTATGCAATATTCTGCTGTAAAGTGCTGTAATACTGCTGTAAAGTGTATCCAAGATGTGAGATGGACAGGGAAATCAGTGCTTGAAGTTATCACTAGTGCTCGAAAAACCATGGTACTGTGTGCTCGATAACGGTTGGTCGTATTGAATGGCGTTCAAGATTGCTACTTTCCTTAATATGTTTAGTGTAGGAACCTTCTAACCTTGCAAGAGTAATCTCTCTTTGAATATTGATGGAGGAAGCAGGACAATGTGTACTCAGCTCTAAACCCATTTTGCACGTAGTTGGACATTATATCAAGTGGATAGTTTGTAGGACCTTCAGTCCGATTTTCGTGCAAACAACTTTGTGCGTGCTAAACATAAATCGATACAGTGGCGGTTTACCTGTGCTCATAACGGTTTAACTGTAAGGGTATGAGAAACGTGTGAAAATATTGTGCATGTGCTTCTTAAATCTGTCCATTATGATGTCTGTTGGTATGAGGTTAAGGAGAGTTGATTGTTTTGCAACAGCTTTGAATCCTTCATCTTGAGTTTCTCACCGGTAACGTAGTTTCGCCACTGAAAGACAAATGCATGCAACAAATTGTCTATTGAAGAGGTTTTCATGAAATTTAAAGGCCACAGGCCAAATGAACATATGATTTATAGTACATTATAAACGTACACATAAACATGCATAACATTATTATATCACTGAGATTTATGTGACGTTCTATACGTTAACGCGAAAAATACAAACTTTGTAGAAGAAGTGTAGTTTAATTTTGTGTAAACGTAAGATTTATAAATTTACAAACCGTTTATACAGCTTATAATTAGTTCTCAGGGAATCTCAACATAACCAGATCTTGGATCTGTTTTTATCCGACGAATCAAACTGCGCCTGATTTAACTCTCAAATTGGAACAAACGTGTGCCAAGGGAGACAACTCACCTGAGTACTCGTGTACTTATTCACTTTGGGTGTTGTGGTTCTAACGGAATCGTACTCGGATGCACGGGTACTTATTTCATTCCCTATTGTGCTTAATACTGCTTTCTCTACTTTGTGTTTATAAAGAATGCTTGAATCTGACTATCACAAGTTTATAGAAGTTTAGAATAGAACTTAGATGTTATAGCAGCTTCACTGTGTACATTCATCTGTATTTGACCAGTCCCCAAACCGAGCATACATGAGGTGACTGAGTTAGTGAGTTTGGTTTTATGCCGCTTTTATTTCAGCACTAGAACAGCGTTGGACACAAGAAATGGACTTCACAGATTGTACCCATGTGGGAAATCGAACCCGGATCTGCGTCGTGACGAGCGAACGCTTTAACAACTAGGCTACCCCACCGCACCCATACATGAGGCTCGTATTAGTACAGTATGTAGTGGTGGATCCATAACAATACCACTGGCCATGTGAGAGACGAAACTATCACCTACTTCACATTTTCCTGCAATAGGTATACATAGTTTCCATATCATGTCCATTTTTTGCATGTAAGTGTTTTCCTAGACTAGACTAGACTTAGCATGTTTATAACGGGTGCGACCGATTGGGCAGGATACGCTCACCTTTCGCCAACACCTGGTATCAACACTATTTCATACTGATTCATAAACACATGCTCTGTCATCGTATCGCAGGGCGACAATCAGTGGATTGTCTGATCGAGGCTCCATTTGTATACAAGCAACATCGTTCAGTTGTAATACTGCTGAAACAAATATATACATCATGATGTAGTCACAACTGTACAATCGATTTCTTACGGACAAGGTTTTGTCGGCTTCTACTTATACATCTCACATAATCAACTTTATAATACTTTGTCTATGGATTTTGGTCATTGTTGAATATGTCTGAAGGTCAACACACCAATACCCTAAATTGTTTTTCGGAAAGGACTTTACCAGAAGTATTGATTAGTTATTTCTGATCTCTCGTATATCTTGTAACAGGTCAACATATGCATTTTTTAATGTGGGCAAAGTTGACCATCCTAAACAACGTAGAGTTCGTGCATATATAATGCTGGGATCAAATAGTGTTGAAGTATATTACACTCACCCAGCAACGTGTGTTGACGCTGTTTCTACCCCAGTCTCGAGCTAGTTTTATAGTGCTAGCACGCTGCGATATCTTGCCGCTGCGTTTAACATGGGTACACGTCCTTAGCCCAGTATATCCACTTTGTGCTGATTGCCAGGACGTGAAACAACAAGTATCTTCGTGATACTTCTTTCGTAATGCCGCAGCTACAAATCGAATCGGCGATCTATCCACTTCACCAAAGTGGACAGCCGTAAAGTCTATGCTTGTCATAAGAGTAGACGAGGCTTGCTGACATGGTTGATGTATACGTTATAGAGACTGGAAAAAAGTCCATTTCCTCTGCAATGTTTTGTTTAAAAACCAGCAAGAAAACGTTGTAATTATATATAAAATCAAGATCCTATAAAAGAAAACATAGTTTATTCATAGTTTTTCGTGGTAGCTTTAAAGTGTGATAATAACAACAACAACAGAACCCTTCAGAGATGTGTTGTAAAATACTTCACCAACGTCATCGGAAACATTATCAATATGGAAATGATCAAATGATGAAACGTCACGGTGACCACAGGGTACTAACAACGTCAACGGGGGAACTTTATTTACGCTCTCAGAGCATCTCAGTATCTACTTCAAACAGGCAAAGACCTATTGGGACTTTGCAAACGTTGCACCTCTTATGTGCACGAGTACCATATGCTACAGAGAGTAATAAACATGCATTATATAACATAACTAATCCTGTCGTGAGTCAATAAGATGTTGGACACTATAATGAAACGGCTTTTATTGCTTCCATTATATTCTAGCACGACATTGTGTGATACTCGATTCTGATAGGCTGAGAGCTCATCAAAACCGTACTTAAATGGCAGTTAAAGACCGCTAATTAAAGTGACCGATTCACCGCGTATGAATACAACGAACTCGTTGACCCTATTGTTTGTAAACAAACATGTCGGACATCGTCAATTTCTATCTCGGCAGCATTTTTGGTGTTTTTTGATTAAAAAGCGAATGGTTTGAAGAAGAATGTCTTGACCCTAATCCCAGTGAAGAAACTACGAAGCTGGAAAATCCGTCAGCAGTGCAAAAGCGGCAGTATGTTCAAAGCGGGTCCAGATCTACGTGTGTTGACGTCGACAACACACGTCGGCCCACACGTCCTAACCTGACCGCTTCTGTCCCGGCCGTAATGCCCAGACTTTCCACTTAATGGGAAGTGTATAAACTTGCTCACAGTATAAACTGTATTTGTTTTAATAATGTATGCTACTTGTTACAAATACAAGCATACTGGTTCCTGAAATAAAGCATCAGTGTTGTTGAAAATGTCTTATTTTGTTCATTACATAACCTGTCCCTCAACGGGACGATTTCAAGCGATTTCCAGGAAAAAGGCCCTTTTGCGCCTTGTGTTCTTGCGCGCCAAACAGTCTGGTTTTAAAACGCTTATCAGTCGTGCTAGAATGAAGATAAAGCTACTCTGTTTTCAATTTTTCGGTCCTTTATCAGTGATTTAAGACCGCTAAATGTTTAATTTAAAACCTCATGCTAACGCGTTCCGTTTTTAAATTACATTTAGCGGTCTTAAATCAACGCCAACGCGTTCGGTTTTTAAATTACATTCTTAAATCAACGATAAAGTACCCTTATCTTCTAATTCACAAGAAAACGCACGTACAGCTCGAATCCCCGGGTTGGAGCTGTTCAGAATTGTCGCTGGAGATGACTAACGAGATCAGATGGTCATTCACTGATGTCTCCACAAATCACTGGATTGTCTGGACCAGATTTGACCTTATGCGGGTCGACGTCAAATGGCGTAAACAATAAGGAAATGCAAAACATAAAAAGTATTCTCCGCCGGCAAATGCCATTTGGCCCACTGAACAGTTGTTATTGTTACGTAATCCATCTAAATGTCAAGCGTCAAGAAAAGTCGTGTAAAGTGCAATAAATGTGTATGTTTATTACAGTGATTATATAATGATAATCACAAAAGATCATGTATTTGATATCCAAAGTTGAACAGTCAAGATCAAATCTAACCTGTTGTTGAGCGAAGAGGTTGTAAAATGTCATCAGGGCCTTGCTCAAAGGAGTAGGTAACCATTTGGGGATTCCCCACGTATTTTCCTTCAGGTGTTATTTAAAGCCCAATGTCATATCCTGTCTGATGAATGCGTACGCAGACGAATATCAACAATATTTTTGAGGGCTCAAGGCGTTTCAATAATGGGATAGAATATCGTCAACACCGGTATGTTGTAATTATATATAAAATCAAGATCCTATAAATGAATATATAGTACTCAAAAGAGACAAAGTGGCTCATTAGTACAGTGATACCCTGCTATTCAAGTTTCCGTTCCTCCGGCTGTGGAGCTTCAAAAAATTATGTAGGAATTTGCATTATTTGGATGAACAGTGTTTCGAATTCATTCAAGTATGAATTCAAAATGATAAAATATAGTAATTGAATGTTTATATATCATTCCCACAACATCTGAATACCTCACACTACTTCAACTGACAAGGGTAGCAACTTCCCGACACAAGCTCCTCACTACGCCTCTATCATGTCGTGAGTCTATTTCGGGTGACAAAGTGAAACTTGATCATGTGAGACGGGAAGCATTTCGTCAAGGGAGTCATTCACAAGGGGTTATATGTTTACATTCAGAATGCATGGCTAAGTTATCGTGATCCAAGGTCATACAGACTCACAATATCAGTCGTGGTATACAGAATTCCTGTTCAACCTGAAAGCCGACTCCAAGGAGAACGCTCGTGTATTGTAAGGGAGGTTACTGCGTGTAAATGATTCGTTACTCCGGACACTTCTTAAATCAGAATATTTCGCAAAGAAAGACACTGTGTGGATAGCAAGGTTGCACTTGGGGACCAGTTAAAATCTATGACTACGGTCTGGAGAAATTATATATAGTGTGATGTTATTTTTTGTATATCTTGTTGATTGTATTTGACTACACACTACACTAACCGAACAAAAACATACAACTGGAGCATTATTGAGTGCAACCGAAAAGGACAAAGAACAAAGGAAAGTATATCACCTCACCTGCAGTATTTTCCCAACAATATGTTTTAGTCCATTTAATTTAAATTGTCTATATATTGACAAGTATTAAGTGATTTTGTTTCCAGCTTTGTATATTTTCAAGAACAGCAGAATATACATTCGTTAGCAAAAATGAGTACCTATTAGGAAAATAAGATTTTCCAGAACATGTAAAAAATATATATTGAATACAGAACAATTGAAACCATTTTACTGTTGACAAAAACAATAGCAGAAAAATGATAATTTATGACTTTGAAGATATAAATAAATCAAGTTTATTTCGTAATTCAGGCCACATCGCCCATAGTACAGTTGAAAATAAGTATACTTATGTCAGATATCCAGAGTGTTATGTCTCTGTCGACTTCATTTTGAATAACTTGCAGAGATATAAAGCTATTGTGCGTAGTGCATTAATATCACAGGATGAAATGAATTTCAAACATAATTCTACAGTTATATGTCTGTAACGAGGAAAGAAAACTATTTCTCAGGTGTGTATATTTCTTACATAACAAAGACATGATACTCATCTTCTACCAAATGAAGGACACAGTTTTACAAAGATTCTGTATGAGGCATATTTAACAATGACCTTTTACGGATAATGTTGACTCGAAAGTTGTTAAGTGATATTGCACATTGCCCTAACTAATGGTTTGTCTCGGATTAAAGTTATGAATAATTCGGGTTTCCAAAAAGATTTTATATTCCGAATCGCATAATGCACTAAATACGAAGACAACTCTATGCTGTGATATCATTACATATATCTTAGATGTCTTCTAAAACAAAAACATTGTTCTTATCATCAACATCTTGGTTTTCACACACATACGCAAAACCGCTAGTAAATGACATTTGTCTCACATACGATGCCCAATTGACGTTACCAATCTCATCTAAATCTTTAAGCAAGAGGTATTGACATCCATTCACCCACAAAAAGCTTAATCAAGTACGTAATTACCCTTATTTGCGAATTTAGAATATACAATGGCATTATGACGTCCAGTTTCACCAAGAGTAACTTCGTTTGTTGTGAATTTACCCACTCCAAGAAAACGGTTAAACTATCATGCTTGTATCTTTACAATTGTGTCACAGTAGTACCTCATGTTTCCGAGGTATAATACATCAAAATTGGAGCGATTGTACTGTCAAATATGTCACAAGCATTTGAGAAAACTATAAAACTGTTGTTACTGAACAAATGAAAAACTGGTCCCATGGCAAGAGTTTCACATGCTTTAGACCATATTAATCGTGAGGAAAATATAATTCCACGATAGTTATAGTAAGTCACTGACTTTTTTGCACATTATTAAGCGTCTATGATTCATACTAAGATATTATTCCATCTAGCTGTCCCTGCATGTCCCGAACAGTATACAGGAAATGTTCGTTGAACATACCTACTTACTATCAGCTTTGATCTCAGCATCAAATCTTGACTGTCAGGGAAATCAAGCAGTTCTCATCAACATATAAAATCCGATTCGAGTTACACTATCGGTTTATGCAAGTGGAATAGGACGATTGTATCACGGTTGCAAGGTCGCTCGTATGCGTCTAACATCGATTGTAACCAGTGATGTTTTGCGTAAGCTGGACTAATTTCATATGCGATATTTCTTTCATATACATACGAGACGCTTGAACACGACGCTTGTCTAACTGTCAATCAGCCTATATAGAGTTCAGTTCAGTGAGATGGGTTCACCTGGAAAAGTTGTAGCCTGATACATTGACAGCTGGTCATCAGGACGTATTAAAATCGCATGCTTTTATTACAAAAAGACGTAAAGTCATTAATTCTCCATCAGTTCAACATGAAAATCCACATAATCCTCACATTTCAAAGACTGTCGATAGGTTCAGCACCGCTTTGAACAGTTTTCTGTGTATAAACCATATGCAAATACCCCACTAACAAACTTTTAAATATCGACAATAATGACTGTTTTCTATCTCCTCTTTAAGAATGCATCCAGCCGTGATATGACACAACAGATTGCAACATTAGACCTCTGAATGCAAACCAGAGAGAGAGTATGTATCATTTTGTGTTTTGTTCTATTATAGGTTATTTGTCATCTTGATATGAAAATGGAGACTGAAGAGGACTCGGATGAATGCAGATCTAGCTTTAGTACATCTAGCAGCGATGAAGCAGACAGTACCTGTACGGCTGAAGAAGATAAGGAGCAATGTTGCTCTGTATCCCACAATTTACCCTGGCGTCAACAGGGCAATAACCAGACAGGTGGCAAATTACAACATGTCGCAATAATTATCTCCATTTGATCAGAATGTTATCACGGTTGCAAAACCGAAGGCTTCAGTAATACATTAAGGAAAGTGTTATGGAGGATACAACCGCATCAATGACAATAATTAGGTCTGACAATCAGGTTGCTATTTGTCCATACAGTGAATATTCCAGTTTCAAGATGGGAGGAGAGGGTAGGGGGAGGGGGCGTTGCAGTTATTTGGTTAGGGAAAGGATAGTGTGTTGTTGATTTAACATTTTTCATTACGAGAATAACATGTGTTATTTATTTTGTTTTCAGAAATGCACCGATCTGTCAAAAAACTGGGGGCAATCGTTACCGACGGTGATATAATACCTGGACATCATGCACAGCCTGTTGGTATGACGTTTTAACCTAATACTTAGCCAACCTAATACGTGTGTACACACATTAGCTACAACTATCATGTAAATGTTACACTATGTTTCACCATTACCATTCCTATTCATGAATAACTCTCATTTCAGTTTTCCAAGAGAACACATTCAATGTGGAGTTTCAAGGAGCTCCCAAATATCTTACCCTTGGAGAAGGAAACAAAATTGAGCAGAATAAGCGTGATGATAAAAAGAGCCTGGCACAAAGGATTCGAGGTGAGTGTGGAAAATGCCTCTTATCAAACAATCCCACACAATACATATTGTCGAAAGCAGCAAATAGACATTGTGGTCGTGGACTGACTGACTGACTGAGTTTGGTTTTACGCCGCTTTTAGCAATATTACAGCAGCATCACGGCGGGGGACACCAGACATGGGCTTCACACATGGGATTCGAACCCGGGTCTTCGACGTGACGAGCCAACGCTTTAACCATTAGGCTACCCCACCGTCCCTTTGGTCGTAGAAGGTAAGTGGGGTAATTAATGTGCTGACGCGACAGCGGCTGAACTGGTGAAAAGACAGTAAGGTGACTTTTAAGGTTGAGGTATTTCTCAACACTAATTTGAGGTAGCGAAAGAGGAGTAGTCAGCAACAATAGATAAGGTCACTGACAAATGACTGTATAAAACAAAAACATGCATCTTATCGAGCTGGTAAGGTTAATGCCATATACCGCTTACATTGTAATAGACGTTGTAAAAAGAAACAAATTAAATTCAATCAATTTGACACGTTGTCAAGTCTATATCTCAGTTTCAAATGTAATGCATAATGGTGTTAAATAGAAATTGTTCAGCATGTCTGGTGATTTGTGAGTTTTCTACTTCAGATAAAACAGAAACAAATATTAAACAGTGTTCAAAGACAACTGTTGATACTCATGGCCTGTCTGAAGTCATGGTCGCAATTGGGAATGGGTCATCTCTTGTGATTATCACAGGATCACAAGGTGATGGAAAGACAACAATCGCAAAAAGAGCCATGTCAAAGCTGCAAGCAAAAGGGAAACAAATATTTCAAATATTCACACCAGACCATCTCTCTGAAGTTGGTCTCTACGTCAGTGAGCCAGTCATTATGTTGGATGACATATGTGGAAAGATAAACTTTGATGAAAGCAAATGGAAAGGATGGGAACCTGCCCTGAACATTATATTTACGGAGACAGACAAAAACAGTATCGTTCTGATTGTTTGCAACAACTTCGTTCTTCAAGAATGGTCGCGGTGCATTGAGCATTTACCTGTGAAACACGTATCCACAGTTGATGTATCACAGATTCGAAGAACATATCAGGAAAAGGAAAATATTTTGTCAGCATTGGAACAGAAGCTTTATATGAAAATTGATCCAGAGAAACGCAGACAAATATGTGAATGGGATAGCCATGGCTTTCCGAAATTGTGTGAAATGTTTCTGGAAATGTACAAGAGTAACAGCTCTTCCCAAATAGTGTCAGTATTCCGACTTCCAACACCGTTAGACGAACACGATGCCATGCATGTTTTGAAGCAAACGAGCAAGAGAATGCTCTTGAAAAAGCTGCTTGAGAACCAAGGTGAATTAGACGTATATCAAGAGACTTGTTCTGAACGTAGGTATGATCTCACAGAGACAGCTAGAAATCTTGATGGAATATACTTATACAAGAGGGACGGTGTGTTCGAATTCCGCTTGGAATATATGCATGACCTCGTGGCATCAGCCTTTTGGGAACTCGACCCAAGGTTCGTCATTGACAACTGCAAGATGACATTCATAAGCAGGACATTGCAACTGCAGTCTCAACAACCTTCTGGTACGGCCACAAAGTTCCTTTTTTATTCCAGACTATCTATGCAAGTATCTCCTGGCAAGATTTACAACGGAAATTTGCAAAGGCAATATATATTTGGCACTCTCACACAGAGCATGCAGATGGGAACCTTTCGCAAAGCAGCTGATGACTTCTCTACTTCGCAACAACAATTCATCAATGCAAAGTGTTGTCTCCCTGACGGATGCTACTCACAAACTGACATTTGCCTACCTATCAACAAGCAATGGTAGTTTTCACATTTTGAAAAGCATAGTTGACCACATAGAACCAATTACTGCTGAGCTTCTAAAGGAGGTCGTGTTTGGTATTTGTGATGCTGCATCAGTTGGTGGGTTGCAATATCTGAAAGACAAAAAACTCGAATTTGATATCAATGTCAGAAATGATGATTATCAAACCCCTATCATGGTGGCTGCCAATACGAAGGAGAGTACTTTCGTCATGGAAGTGCTAGCAATCAACCCTGACGTTAATGTACTCGATTGTGTGGGCAGGTCAGTACTTCACTACATCTGCGAAAATGGACTGGCAAGAGCAATGAAACAGATTGCATGTGATATAACAGATGTTGACAGGAAGGACAAGTCTGGACGTACAGCTCTTTCCAGTGCTTGTGAATACGGACACATTGACATAGTGAAGGAACTCCTTAAGATGGATGCCAACATAGACGTGCAATCCTTGCACGAGTCTTGCAAGTCAAAGAAAGCAGACATTCTCGGATTGTTATTTGCAGAAGGAGCATCTGTTGATGTATTGTCGGAGGATGGTGACACCCTTCTTCACTCGGCATGTGAAGGAGGCAAAGAGGTGATAGATCTACTACTACAAAAAGGTTTACATATCAACAAGCCTGGCTTCAAAGGAAGAACTCCTCTTGACAAGGCAATAGGACAGAAAAATGAAACTATCGCAAAATACTTGGAAGAGAAAGGTGGTAAACGCAACGCAAATCTGTCATCTTAGCGTATCCCAACAAGCTCTACCAAGTAAAGGTCTTGACAAATCTAAGTGGTTTATGTTGAAATAATTCAGTGTTATATCTATATCAAATCAACGTAGGAAACATCTTTTCTATCACAAGGGATATTTATTCTATCACAAAATCTACAAATCTGGATACTTGTAATAATGTCCAATCTTTCCTGCCATCGTATGCCGTGTGGTATAGAGTGATGCTCATGCTGTTGATCACTGGATTGTCAGGACCAGACTCGATTATCTGGAATAATAGCTGGAATATTGCCGAGATCGGCGTCAAACAACAAGCAAGAAAAATGTTTAACATTTAGCGTTGTACATAGTAGGAGCAGAAGTCATGGTGGTGGTTTTGTGTTTAAACATATTTCACGGACATACCAGGTCAAATGGGATGGCCAAATTCCTCCAGCTGAGACGATCCTCTCAATAAACATTCATACCGATAGAGGCCAAATGTGTGGTTATTGAACATTGTCATAAATAACACACTAAGTGCTACACCGGGTAATCATTGTCTGCTGGGTGAACAGAGGCCATTTTGAACGAACTCACTTGCCTAAGGTGAGACCACATGTATCACATGTGCTTCGTTGTGGGACAGGACTGAAGAAACTCTCAGGAGTCAAGCTGCCAATCACAGTCACCCAGTTACAAGTTATCTACTTTCGTGTGTAGCTAGTTAAATTACACATATATGCATAAGAACATACATACATACATACATACATACATACATACATACATACATACATACATACATACATACATACATACATACATACATACATACATACACTCATACACACATACAAGTGTATGTTGCAGTATAACTGAGTAGAACTATTGTTTTGAAAACCAAACAGTATATTTTCTATTGTGAATTTTATTTTGCCCTCAGCCACTGATTTAAGCCATATGGTCAGCCACATAGTAACATTCACTAAATACATTAACAATTGTTTCTGGTTCCGCTTCAAAGAATGTACATAGAATTAAATTTGTATACCCACTTTTACACAAAAAATACATTTGTGGAGGAAAATATTGTACAACTATCTGTGAAATCTTAAATAAATATTTTGTAATATTTTAGGGTCATGTTGTTTATTTCACTGTCTTCCACATCTTTTATGAACATATAATTTAGTGTATTCGGCTTCTCCTGAAGTTTCGTTTTGTTGGAATTACTTTTAATTGTTATTGTGAAAGGCATTTTTGGTGTTACGAGAACTTTTCCACACATTTTTCTGGGTTTTTTGTAACAGTTTCTGGCAGCAGTTTATACTTTGATAACATAGAAGATTAATTCTAATGCCATATAACTTTATATCTCATACATCTTACCTTATATTTGTGCATAAATTGTGTCGGCTGCAGGTTTTAAGAGGTAATCTGCATAACGTATCCCTTTTGAAACAAAACACTGGTTTATTGCCGATTATAAAATTCTAAAATATACTACCCATCAAAAGTTTAGACTCACTAGTGTAAATGTAGCCACTTACTTCAGTCAACTGTTCTAAACTAGATTTTGCAAAATATTCCATAATGTGTAAAGGTATTGTTTACATATGAACTGATGTATTGTAAAACAAATTCGTAATGTTGAAAACATTCTTTTCATGAGTTCAATAAATCATGAAACTCAGTGAAAATAGGCGAATTCTTAACAAAACTTTACACCAAAACGCAGCTGTTCATGCACGACATGTGCACATGCTTTTCAGAAAGTTGATGCGAGATTCTCGTGCAATTCCTTTCGCAGATGGTTCCCCTAAGTTAGTGGAGAAATCCATCTTCGATATAACCATATATATTAGGTAGATATATGTACATAACATGTAGTGAGTGTTTTAAGTGAGTCTAAACTTTTGATGGGTAGTATATTTAACCATATTAATTGATTTAAACATTCATTTTCATCTAACTTAACTTTTTCATTTTCATCACGCATTAATTACATCTTTCGAAACGCTATTTCTAATACACGGTCTAATTTCGTTGATGATGTGATAGAGATATTGAAAACAGCTCCCATTTACAGTTATCTTCAGTTCTTCTAACCCCTGTTGTGCTATGATTACTTCCGTTGGTAAAAGCACACTTATTCCACCGTGTGTATGTATTGCCTCTATTTTGATTTTGTCTGATTTACCATTCCAAATGAAGTCAAACCTTTCTATAAAACACTGTTCATCATTTCATTATTGACTGAAGGTTGAGAGGAAATAGTATGATTGAATTACATATGTCTAGATCTTTTTTAATCCTATCCATGTCAACTTTGTCTAATTAGCATTTACTTTCAGATTCGAACATCTTGCAAACATAAACGCCGCGTGTTCAATATTGCATGTTGTTTGCTCTCTGGGTCATCTAAAGTTAAGGTGGTATTATAAACTGTGCCCACAAAAAACTTTGAATTTCCTATTATTATGCCCTTAACATTTCTGATGGCTTATATTTCTACACACAGAATGAAAATAAATGATGACACCTGATCACCCTGTCCACAACCTCTACTAACAGGGGAAAAGGAACTTGAAAATCCCTGTACTACAACACTTGTCTCCATATCTTTAAAAAAAAGTTATTATCCACGTTTGTATCCTTGAACCAAAGTTAAAAAGACACAATACATAGAATATAAAACGTCCATCTACCGAATCTCAAAATCTATAAGAACTAAGAGACCGGATATTTTATAACATTCGGTGTATTCCATTAAGTAGTGTATCTTTCTGGTTACTTCGCCCACATGTATGTATCTTCCTATAGAAACCTTTTTTGATCATTAATTAGTGTGGGTAGTACTCGTTACAGCCCATTTGCTATTACATGAGATGCATGTTTATAAGAAGAGTTTAAATGAGTGTCTAATTTTGTAAAAACATTTTTCGTTTATTTCCTCCAAGAATGCATGTAATAAGCCCTCGTCTCTGAGTAACAGATAATAATTCATTTTCAGATGAATTGAGTTCATATGGTTCTTTTTATAAATTCCAAAAATAATCTGGAGTAAATAATCTAGTACTGGGCTTATGGTCATTTTTTATATATTAACAGGCATCTAAGACTTTATCTTAGAGTTAGTTTACTTTCTAAAGTAGCAGAAAATCGGTAGAATTTGGTTCATTATAAATCCTTAATCTCCCTACAAATTATCTGTTTTAAGTAGTGTTAGTTTCTTCTATTATTATCTTATTCTTATTCCGTTTCGTGTATTTGTGTTTCCAATTCATTTCACTTATGTAGTAAATTCCTCTGATTTCAAATAGTCTCATTCATGTAGCAACTAGTCACTTATATCTCTCCGCCCCACCCCATTCGCCTGACAGCTAAGGTCCCGCTGATTCCTGAACTCTATTTGACTACAGCACGTTAAAAAGGGAACTGTTAAATCACAATTGTAGATGTTATAAAGCTTTTATGGCAGCGCGTTATGGACACAGGTGGAAAAAGCTGCTTATTAATAGAAGCAGAATATATGTCATTTTTGTGTACCCCAACGAGCTAAAAAGAAACATGCGGGCGTGCCTGTAGGCCCTGTAGGTCCATTTCTCCCTGGTCTCGGGTATTGCAAGGTGGTTTGAGCCATTCTGAATACGTACAAAAACGCAAAATGTCTTGTGCACGAATGATACGGGAAAACAGAAAGGGAATTCCCCCGACTGTAAACGGGAATCTCCGACAATCCGTTGTGGTGAAAGTAGTCCGCTTTGATGGTAGTAGTAGTAGTAGTAGTAGTAGTAACAGCAGCAGTAGTAGCAGTCGTTATGATGATGGTAACTTTGTACAACCTACAACCATACCACACTGTACTTGTTAGTGTATGATGTACAAAGATGGAAGCTTTAATTAGTAGAGTAGATGCTGAAGAACGAGCAATAGAATGTATTGTAAGTCTTGCATTTTATAGGCCCAGGCGTCTCAAACACTGTTATGTGATTGGCAGAGTACAAGCGTTGAGGGGTGCCAGAAACTCATGACCTTGTGCTTGCATATCTGAGTCAACCTGATTGTATGTCCAGATGTTGACAGAACAATGTTTGTCCTTCTCTGATTGAACAAAGTGGCTAATGCTTATGACCACCGTGACATGGAATTGAACAGTACATAGATTTTGCTATGGGGCGTCACTGATAAGCTGAAGACACGGAGACATAGTTTATTGGACGACAAAGAACAATGTATTACACATTACACTTACACATACTCATCGTTTACTAAAGATGTATTCATATACATACTATGGTATGATGTCAAGTAAATAGTGCATGTGGGACCTACTTTCAAGAAACGTTTTCAATAAAGTTCCATTGAACTCTAGGTCTGTTACGCATTTGTTATGTTTTCGGTGTGAACAGAATGTTTCAAAGGAATTATTTTTCTAAACACCATCAGTTAATTTGACATAACAGTTATCTAAAATATGGATGGCAGACCCCGGCATCAATAGGGAAAGAGAAACAATGAACGTTGACAAGGTTTACTGTCATGTAAGCATTGTTTCTTACTCAGTCTCTGTATCAACTGCCCATGAGGTCAGATATGATGTATATAACTTAAAAATATGTGTCGTATTGGATTATACACAATAATACCAATAATGCATAACACGACAAGTTCAGGCACAACAGTACTAGATATATACACATGGGGTAAAGTGATTCAAATTTTTGGGTGAAACCTTAAAGTTAATCATTTCGTCTTCAACGAAACTGCATCACTGCATAATATTTAGACGGAACCATACAGCTTAAACTAATCCCCATCAACGAGAATAGAAGAGACAGCGTTAAGGTTCCCAAAGGCCATATTTATATCTCGACCACAGCTGACTTCTCTATAGTGAGTGAGTGAGTTTGCTTTTTACGCCGCTTGTATCAATATTCCAGCAATATCACGGCGGTGACTTCTCTATAAACAAGATATTAATGTACCCAAGAACTCAAATCTCATCTAAACTCCTATATATACAATATCAGATGAACACGTTATTACATGTTGGAATTTATCCATTTTGTCCCAGTTTTTAATATTAAACATAAATTCCCATACCATTGTAGCATAATGGTGAGCTAAATTACGGATGACAGATTGGCAAACCAACAAGATAATATCACAGAGATCGTTGACAAGAGTCCCAGGTCAACTACACGTGAGGCCAACAGAGTGTCTATTTCTTGACATTGAAATACGGTGAACATTGTGGTACTGGTGGAATTCACTCCTGCGGATGTCTTCTTCCTTGTTAAGGGCTGCGTCTTGCCTGAAATAATAATAATTATTAGATTATTATACAAGTAAACCCGTTTTTCGTATTTACAATGACTAATATCAGAGTATGCTGTACAAAACGTTTGTATCATGAGCCGATTTTGAAATCAACATTGAGGTAATCGACTTTGCCGAAAGTAGCATCGTCTTAAACGATATTAAAGATTTGAAACAAGGCATAAGAAGGCTAGACTCCACTGTATATGAACATTCAACATTAACTGGAAGACTATAGCCACATTTGTTAAGTGTGAAAATAATGTGTAAAACGTTCATGAAATAACGATTAAGAAAGTTTGCTTACTCTTTTTTGTGGCACCACAACTATGAACTTATTAGCAAAATCCCCAGGGCTATGAACACGACAAACAGTGTGCACCCACATAATGTTGACATCGCTGAAAGGGGATATCATCTATCGCTGTGTTGCATATTTTATAAATGATGTTGTTCCTCACAGCGCTATAACGTGGATAAAATAGACTCTTTACTGTCATTAGAGGAAGTAATATTCCTTCAGTTGGCATTTTGATTGTAGTTTTACCAACATAAGGTTTGTTGGGGAGAAAAAAGTAAACTTACGCTTGTAATGCTTCAGTTGTAATGCTTCAAAGATTTCTAGATCAGTTGATTTATCACTGTAATGTTCGTTTTTTAAATTCTAAGAAAGGTTATGTCATGACAGTTCTATGTTCTCACATGTATCACATGTGCTTCGTTGTGGGGCAGGACTGAAGTCCTAGAAACTCTCAAGAGTCAAGCTGTCACACACGGTCCAAGTACTCTTCGCACTCATCGTTGTTTAACTTCAACTGAGTGTGACCTGAGCGCTATGCACAGAACCACAACCATATAATTGCATTCGTTTCAGAAAGACCCATCCAGATCATCATTACCAGCTTATCGTCATCATTCGGCTCATTTTACGTCCCTGAATCCTCACAAAGGCATACTTACGCAGACAGTATGGCAACCTATTGCTTGACGTGGTTTGCGGCAGTCGTCGCCGCCATATTGGGGTGCTGGATCTGTACAGGTTCTATTCCAGTCTACATTCCGGGCCGCTAGCCCTGCCTACAGGTGGCTATACAGGGACCTTCTCTCCATGACGAACACACCGAGATCCGGTCGACACTTGCTGAAACGATACAAATATATCATACCCTTTCCTGAACGAACCCGGCGGCGGAGGTTATATCATTTGGGAGACCAAGAATCACGTTTCGTGTAAACATTTCGAGTGAACATTTTCAACCTCAGTTGTCTCTACCAGGTAACAGGATTTCTACAATCTGCATGCAAATTGTCTGTATCAGAATATAACATCTGATGCTATCTCAACCAATTATTTGCGACAAGTGGCACTTTGGAGTTGCTGTGCAAACATGTCTTCAGTGTGACGGACACTCGTTCATGAATAAAACTCCTACTCATATAACCCAGGGTGTTTTTTTTTTGCATACCGGGCACTTTGTAGAAGGTAAATGCAGTTGTTTTGGTTTGGGTGCACATTACACACGCAAACAATGACTCCTGATTTTTCTCAAGGACAATATAATTGCAGCTAACATGTCAACATGTCTTTAGCCCCAATCACAAGGAATCGAGCCCAAGAATCAACGTTTACAGAAATAGTTTCGGTTGGATGATCTAGTTCGTCTAGATGTCTCTTGCTTTCATTACGAGATGAACCAGCTTGTGGGGATGTCATGATGGAAGGAAAATGATTCAGCTTCCCTGCTTTCCAACCAATATGAAGTGTCAACAAGGACGATGTCAGATAGCGCCGACTATCCAAGATGCTGAGACCAGGGATACAGGGATGTTATACTTCAGCGAATTGACACAAATAACTATATTTATAAACCAACTTAATGTCAGACTGGTTCGGTCCATGGCAAAAAATTGGAGCTTTACCATATCTGGAGTTTTTCACCAGATTGGCCCATAAGCCGTTTGGCATAGGACTCTAGGCAATTTAATATGTCGATAATTTCAAAAAGGAAATCTAAATGGCCAAGACCCATCTATGAGGTAAATGTACAAAATATTCACCATACAAAGGGCTTAGCGTGTCCAGCCGAGTTATAGAACCGGGCCCATTTTACGACCCGTTTACCTTAAGATAATCTTAACAAAATGTTGAATCTGTTGCACAAAGCTACCTTTGGTCAACCTTAAAATTGGAAGGATACTTAGCGGCTACCTAAACTAAGGTAACTGGAAACTCAATCGTGTCTGTAGTTACGAATGTGAGTTATCGATTTAACGTAAACGAAAAAGAATATTTTATAACACACGAACATCATTTTTAGGATAATACTTTTCTTTGTATATCATAATGTGGTTATTTATCTTCATAAGCAGAGCGGTGTCGACTATTACCGATAAGCTATCACGCCTTATTCCTGCTGTTTCAGTCTATGAAGCAATAAGTGATATTAACAAAGAACCGTTCACTGAGAATCACATTCACGCACAAAGGCAAGTAAGCGCTGTCCACCAATCCTGTTGCTGATACATATTTCACATCGCAAAATTTCACATTTTTTTTCACCCTTGTCAGGCTTTTGACATGAACAGTTATGTCACGTGCCTTAAACCGTTAGTTATATAACAATGCGTCATTGCTTCAACGTGTACATGGGGTTAATATACTCTTTCCTCGTTCCTCTTGGTGAAATTTGCAAAAGATACAAAGTCCAGTAAAAGGAACGAGGAAAGTTCCTGGATCGATAGGCCAGTATTTACAACAGGTATGGCCTGAATGTGTCTGTATATGTTAACAATACCAGGAAGTATTCTATTTGTACACAACCTTTAACGTCGATATACTAAAATTCTAACAATAATGTAACTAACACAAAATACGCCCCAAATTCAAAATAAGTCAGCATGTTAACATTTGTTACAACTGTTATTTAAACAGTCTGCTGAATGAAAGCAGCAGCCATGATTTGTTCCTTCTCAGTATTTTGTGAAATATAACAATACATGCAAATGTTTATTGAAATGAGATACAAGGAAAATGCAGCAAATGATGCACTTCACATACCAATACATGGAGGAACGCTGCAGTGAGTTTGACTGGTTTCCGTCAGTGGACCGGTGCACTTCGTTTCACGGCCAACGCCTAGATCTGCGCTGATTAGTCACGGCAACTCTTCTCCTTGCCCCACCCCCAAACATACAGGCAGACATTCGTAAACATTCACTAAAATTTGCTTCACAGAGAAATTATACGATATTCACATTTACTTCAATTTACTTTACAGGGAAGTCATACGATATTTAATTGCTAATTATTTAGGTTAGAGTTTGATATTTTAACTATTGAAGTAATGATCATAACTCGCTGAACTGATCACAAATATATACAGGGTACATGATATTTCAAATGCATCAAATAGAATTCCAATTGGATTGCACAGTACATTTTCTAGTTATACTAAGCTAATAAAGTTAAGCAAATGCATTGTGTTAGTAGCAGTTTAAGAATACAAAAATGAAAGTTTCATAATTTAAAGAAAGTATTGATTAATTTGATGAAGATGAAAAAGTGATCGTGAATGAAAACCATTCTTTTAAAATCTGAAAGTCCGTTTATTCAAAATGAAGTAAATTCACGTGCAGGAGTATCGAGGTTGCACATGACAAGCTTCGTAAACCTTTCAGTTCTGCACATGCGCAAACGAACTTAGGTCACAATCAACGTCATGACGTGATGGGGAAACTTGTTGCTGGACAAAGTGTTGCAAAATTCCGACAGCATTTTTAATGTCTACATCCGCGCCAAAGTGCCCAGCAAATTGACATGTTCGAGACTGACACCGCACGGCAACAACGCAAAGAAAAGATTGATTCTTGGTGACGTCATCTCGCGTCGCAGAGTACACATTGTTTGGCAAATGCTCATCTGTCCAGCAACCTCCTCCATGGGCATTGCTTTCAAGACATAACTGGCGCATTGCACAATGGAACAAATGTTATTTAGCGACAAATCCAAATTTGCAAATTGGCGTCCAGTTTGCAGATGGTCGGGGACGTTATGACACTACCACGTCATTGCACATAATACAGAGTATGGGGTGGAATTGTAATAATATGTGTGGAGGATAATTCATGGTACAGGCACAACGGACCTGGTTTTCCTTTTAAAAAATCGTAATGAGCAACGTGACACCGTTTTGGGTTCACTTTACACTGTACATAAATACAAGATATATCACAACGTGAAGCAACCTCAAGTCTGAAGGAATGTATCCCCTACTAACATCATGGTAAAATTAATACATTTCAAAAGATATTCAGTAGCAACTAATTCCAAAATCTGAACATAGAAGTTTAGCTTTGACCAGTTTGAAACAACAGTGCTATAATAGACCCGGCCGGATTAAAACTGGATCGGCTGGATTAAAACTGGCGTTTGACAATTATTAGAGATTAGACTGAGCGTAAATCTTGCTGTGCAGAACTATGGAATAAGTGTTTTAATGTATAAAATGCTAAAGTATTAAACATAATTAAAGGCTACGTAGAAAAATAGTCAAGTATGCACATACATACACACACAGGCACGCACACACACGCGCACGCACGCACGCACGCGCGCACACACACACAAATCTTCTTTGTAGCTTGGATCGGCTGAACTCAACCTGAACAAACACTTAACACACAGGTTAAAGAACAAACAAAGCGAACATAGGGGAATACTTTTATCATGCTGCAGAGTTACAAAAGAGACATTCCATGGAATGATTATCGCTATAACGAACGCTGCAACGTACGAAACGTTTCATATCAAGAATATGATTCCATGCGTTGCAATATCCTCTTACTATTTTTCCAGTACCCCTTTCTGGCTCTTTTTTCCCTTTTCGGATTATCAGTTATTAGGTTGTGAGGAGTGAGCCTCTTTTTGAAACTGTTATATTGTGTGTTGATCCTAGTGGTTAAGGTCATGAGCGACTAGAGTGGACAGGTAAAATGTCATACATCCAGACAGCTGTGGGAAGCACAATAAACCCGATATTATTCTGTTTTAGTTGTCCAGAATCGTAAATCATGGTCTTCTGACAAAAGGTGTAAATAATTAAATTCAACGTGAAATCTTGAACTGCAATCAACATCCCAAATAAAACAAAAGCCCCACCCATGTCCAGAATATTCAAATCCAACCAAACAGCCCCTGATCAAGAGTCTGAAAACAAGACCCTCTTAATTTCAGTTTCAACTTGTCCTAGGCTAGCAAGTTAAATGAACACGAATTTCTAACACATATTCCACTCTTGTTTCGTCATTCCTTTGCTTTGAAACAAACTATTAATACCGAAGACCTGTACATGCCTCTATCAAGGACAGCCTTTTGAATGTTGAAACAGTGGAACTATATCACTTGCTATGTACATAAATCAAGTTACCTTTCAGAGTAGGTCTGTGCCATGTTATACAAAAATACATGGAAGTAGGGTTAAAATCGGCTAAACATTTATCTGGACATTTAGGAGGACCACAGTTTCCTATTTCAGTGTCTGTAAGGACGGCTGTACAGCTGATTTTATAGGCTGGTGCAATACAAGTTCTGGTTCTCTCTATGTGTCCTTCTCTCCCTGGGCCACATGTGGCTGTACACATTGGAGCACTCCAATGGGTCCACTCGCTAACTTCGTCTAGTCGTTAGAATAATGGAATCGTTTACTTCCTTAGTGCAACGCCCCTATATTTCTCTAACCAACATTTCTATCATGTCTACAACGACGCATGAACATTGGAATCTGTACATTCGGACATACAACTACTTTGTGATCAAAATGTCTTTAGCCAAGCTCAGAATTTCTGTATAACTTTTCTAGCGTTCTTGAGTTCCCTAGTTTTGATAATCTTTATGACAACTGGTCTACACTTTCTGTCATTATAGAATTTTAGTTGCTGGTAGTTATAACAATTATACCACAGCAACTAGCACCAGTAAACAGTGCATACCATTCATGACCACATAACCGTTTCCAACTACATCTGAAAATCGTACTTCATCGATCGTACTTCAACATTTAATTAT